ATAGAAACAGGGATGTCCGCCCCTGTGCAGAATGTATCTTGCTCTTCTTCAGTAGCTGCTCGTGGGGATCTTGGTTGCTACAGCAAGGAAACAAGCAGCTATCCCACATTGTGCCCTGCAGTTCATAGTGTTGTGGTTGAGCGGGATGGAACCGGGTCCTGTTCCTCATACTGTGGCCTCACTCGTTTTCCTTCCCTTGCTGTTCCCCGCCCGCCCTTCCTCCTTGCCTGGCTCCGTGTCCGCCACGCTTCCCTCCGTCGTGGCGCGCAGAGCCCCTGAGCGTGGAGAGCACAGCCTGCAGCCTGGGCAGCATGAGCGAGTCGGGGCAGGGCTATGAGTGCAGCACCCCCTCAGAGACAAACTGCTCCTTCGACCCCGCCGAGGAGACGTCCTCGGGCCCCGTGTCCGCTCCCTGCCCGCGGCACGCGGGGCCCGCCTCGGAAACGGGGCTCTGCGCTCTGCCCCCGGCACCACCAGGACTGGCGGAGAAGCAGGAGACGTTGCAGAGCTCTGGTGAGACGATAACCATGGACTTCGCTCTCCCCGCAGATATTAATGAGGGTTTGCCTTTAATTGCTGGCCCTGTGGATTTGGACAGAGACACAGAGGCAGTGGTGGCCCCGGCGCAAGTGTCCTTATCGGTCACAGATTTTGGCCTCATTGGCATCGGAGATGTAAATAGCTTTCTGACTGCTCATCAGGCCTGCCCGGCACCCGTGGCTCGGTCAGAGCCCTTGTCACAGTGAAAGTCTCCAGTCACAAACTGGGCACAGACCCAGCAAGGACTTTGACTTGACTGAGTGAAATCCTGGGACGTCCCCTGTTCCGTGGGGATGGTTTGGAGCTCTTGGTCAGAATCCGTCTTTCCATCCCCCTCGATCCAAGGCTGCAGTGAAACCAAACACCTTTCTGCTCTAGAGTTTTCTGGCACAATCACACAAAGCTGGAGGCTTAAGTGAGGGGAGGCCCGTGCCCCCCGTTCATTGGCCAAGTGTCACCCCAGGTCAGGCCGGCTGTTAGGAGAGTCCTTGCCCTCAGGACGGTGGAATTGTCCTTCGGCCCCGGCGGGACAGCCTGGTACCGTGAAGATGTTCTCGGAACAGGGGTGGATCGTGGGCACTTCAGGGCCTGCGGGAGAGGACGCAGCCGGCTGATCCGGGAGCTGAGGGGAGGAACGGGAGCACCGACCGCCCGGGCTGGAGGGCGCCTCGCTCCAGAGATGGGCATGGGGATGCCCAGGGAGGATGGGCCGGGGCTGCTCGCCCGCACAGGATGTCTTGCAATGGAAGTCACTCTCCCTGTTCCTCTTCTAGCAGCCGTCCTGCACCTGCAGAGCAGTGAATCCTGACAGGGACACGCATGGCCGTTCCGTAGCCTTTGGAGCTGGTCCTGACTGCCCACGGCGCCGTCAGCCCCAGATAAGCTGTGGTTTAATCCAGCCCGGTGGCTAAAGCTTCAGGTSTTGGAAAGGGGCGCTGCGTGCTGAGGTGGCGGTGTGTGCGCTTAGTCCTTCCCGCCCTTCCTCGCAGCGCCGGGCCCTGGAGAAGCTGCTGCTGGGATGAAGGGAGTGTCCAGGCTGGCAGAGCGGTGCCCTCCTTAYGGGAGGGTTAAATGGAGATAAAAACCTGCGGAACCTCCCAGCTCGTTCCAAAGGRTTAGTCAGCCCTGGAAGGAGGAAAGGGGAGGACCAGAATGTGGGAAGGGAGGATGGGGATGGCTCGAGCAGGAGGTGTCCGTAAGGAGGGAGCTGCAGCCCTGGACGAGCTGGGAGCGCCTGTGGCCCCGCGGGAGGCTCCGGCCTCCCCCCTGGCCTCTGCTCCTCCCTGACGGCGCCCGGGACACGCCGTGCACATCCCGGGGCTCCCGCGCTTCCCGGCCCTTCCGCCGTCCGGAATGTCGCGGAGCGGAGGCGCACAGCGGCGGGGGGAGCGCGGAGCCCCCGGGGCGGCTCCGAGCGGGACTTGGCCGCTGGTTCTSATTCAGCCCTTGCCATTGCCGCTGTGCGGGGGGACCTGCCCGCCTGCCGSGGGTCCCTCCCGCCGCGCCGCTCTGCGCCCGCGCAGGGCCCACGAGGGGCTGCTGCTCTCGGTAGATGCCTCCCGGTCACAACCCGCAGCTAGTTCTGCCCTCCGGGGACCCGAAAGATGCCTAAAGCCGTTAGCCCGGCTGTTCCCCCTCGCGCAGCCCCGCGCGGCTGCGTTGAGCCCCGCCGCGGCAGCGCGGGCACGGCGGCGGGCAGCCGCCCGCGCGGAGCGAGCCGCAGCTCCTGCCTCCTGCCAGAGGCCAGGGCTGTCCTGCCAGCGCCCGGCGCCGCTCCGCGATTGTACGGGCTCAGCCCAACGTCTGCGCCACGGCCGCTCCCGCGAGCGGGCAGAGGAAGCGGCGGCGTGGGCTCCAGAGCGGAGCTTCCCGGGCCCAATCCCGCTTTCCCGGGGCAGAGGAGGCTTCCCGGGCGCAGAGGTGGCGGCGGGAGAGCGGCCCAAGCGCTCCGGGCAGCGCCAGGCCTGGGCATCCCCTCTCCATAGGTCAAAAAGCTTCTGAGTTTTCCTGAAACCATTATTTCTTTGGTTTGTTCCGAGCCCCCATGCCAGGAGAGGGGAGGCAGCAATGTCTCTTATTTATGTTCTTCAGTGTTGTTTACAGATTCGCATGGGGTCTTTCAACTTGAGAGTGACGCTCTTTCCATATAACGTTTTGGGGAAAGGGTGAAAGGGGCTGGGCAAGGGAGGGGGAGTCACTTTTTCTTTTTTCTTTCATTTGGTTTGGGAATTTTCTTTTTCCTTCTCAAAAAGCACATTCACTTTGAGCCGCTCTCAATGCTGGACTCTTCCACCCCCTGCCCCCCAGTCCTACACTGTGAAGTGATACTGCCTTGAAGACCCCTCGCCGTTATTTATTTAATTAAAAACCTAAGTTGAAAGCGAGCAGGAGGCCTGTCTTGTGTCTGCAGACGCGGGTGTCACCGGGAAAGGAGTCCGGGCCTCTCTGCCTGCGCCTGGGCCGCTGCCGCGTGGGCAGAGGCCGAATCCGGAGCGTTTGGGAGCCGTAGGTGGAGGCGGATGTTCCTGTTGGGCTGTATGGGGGCTCAAAGAGGCCGGATCCTGCGCCCTGCACCCCACACTGCAGCCTGTGCTGCACCCCGCGCTGTGCCCTGCGCTGCGCCCCACACTGCAGCCTGTGCTGCGCCCCACGCTACAGCCAGCGCTGCGCCCCGCACTGCACCCCATGCTGCAGCCTGCGCTGTGCCCCATGCTGCACCCCGCGCTGCAGCCTGCGCTGCAGCCTGCGCTGCGCCCCATGCTGCGCTCTGTGCTGCGCCCCGCGCTGCACCCCACACTGCAGCCAGCGCTGCACCCCACACTGTGCCCCACGCTGCGCCCCATGCTGCGCTGCGCCCCGCGCTGCACCCCGCGCTGCGCCCCATGCTGCGCTGCGCCCCGCGCTGCAGCCTGCGCTGCGCCCCATGCTGCACCCCACGCTGCGCCCCGCGCTGCGCCCCATGCTGCGCTGCGCCGCGCCCGCCCTGCTCCATGGGCTGCCGCTGCAGCCGGGCGCTTGGACAGCAGAGGGCAATCGCTGTGCGCGCCGCCCTGCCCTGCCCTGCCCGGCCTCTTCCCTTTCCCTCTCCCAGCCCCTGCCCTGTTCCCTCTCCAGCCCTGCTCGCTGCTCCGCCTTCCCAAGGTGGCCAAGGATCCCAAGCCCGGAGGTGGCTGCGATTCCCAAAGAGCCGCCAGCTTCCTGCTCTGCCCGACCCCATCAGGCGCAGGATCCAGCCTTGGCTGCCGTGGAGGAGCCGGCCGGGTTTGCAGGGCTGCTCTCTTGTCCTGGGATACCAGGGCACCCCTCCGTGGAGAGGGGCTCAGCTCCGCGTGGGAACAGCCTCCATCTCCTGGCTGCCCCTCGCCCTGGAGGGGTGGGTTCCTCCATCCCCAGGGATGAGGCCCAGCAGGGATGCACCGGCAGCCTCACCCGCTGCCCCTGCTCCGCGTGGAGCTGCCACCCGCAACGTGGGGGCRGCCGCAGCGCCGGGCAGCGGGAGCCAGCAGGAGATCCGGCTGCTCTCCCTAAATCCCACGGCATCCCATGGGATTTTCCAGCGCTGCTGGCTTCCCACAACAGCCTGTGGACTCTCCTCAGGCCGCTCGTGGGGGCCTTACATAAACCAGCACAGTAGTTATCGTTTGGATGGTTTCTCTATTATTTACATTTCCTTCCGCTCCTAACCAAGAGTCAGGCCTGGATCTGGCACCGTCCCCAGCTCTGCCCGCCCGGCACCTCCTGCAGCTCCGTGACCGTCTAAGGCAGCCCCGGCTCCGGCCGGATCATCCCGGGAATCTTTGTCCCCTCCACCAGGCTCCTGAGTCAGCGCCTTATCTGTCTCCGCGGCGCAGATTGYGGCGCCGCCGCTCCCGCAGCCGGGACGTTTCCGTGACTGCGTTTTTCCATCCTCCGATTTTCCCTTTTTCTCCCTTGTTGCTGGAAAGGGCGCCCGGCGCTGGCGCCGCTCCCGCGGCCGGGGCGCACGGAGCCCCCCGCGATGGCAGCGGGGCCCGGGCCCCCCGGGGGCTCCTTCTCCGCCCCCCTCCCGGGGGGTCCGTCCCGGGGGTCGCAGCCCAGTTTAAGCTGCCGCTCGGGGCCTGGCGGAGCGGGGCGGCCCCTCCCGGCAGCGCCCCCGCCTCAGCCCCGCTCCGACCGCCGCTTCGCGCCCTCCCGTTCCGCCCCAGCCGCGGGCGGAGGCACCGGCGGCCGGTGCCGCCCCGTCCCGCCCCGTGCCGGTGCCGCCCCGTCCCGTCCCGGCCGCCCGGACTTTACCTCCTGGCCGGGCCCGCGCCGCTCCGCGCCGCTCCGGGCCATGTGAGTGCGGGGCCGGGCCGTGGGGCCGCCATCGAACCGGCTCCGGCACCGCCTGGGCTCCGGCTCCGGCTCCAGCTCCGCTCCGGTTCCRCCGCGGCCGCAGGCACCGCTTCGTCGCCCCCCCGGCTCCGGCTCCGGCCCGGTCGGCCCCGGTTCCGGCATGGAGCGCAGGAACGTCCTGGTGGTGCTCGATGTCCTCTGCGTGGTGGTCGGTAAGAGCGGGGCCGGTGCCAGGCGGGGGCTCTGCCGCCCCAGACCCTTCTCGGGGGCTCGGTCCTGGCCCCAGCCCAGCGGTGCGGGACCCCTCCCCAAACCCTCCTGCTCCAGACAGACAGGGCCCCTGTGTCCTCCCAGCCCAGCTGGGAATGACCCCCGTGACCTCCGCTCCAGCTGTGCACCCCGCCGTGCTGCTCCAGCTGTGCACGACCCCCCAGCTCTCCCATCCCAGCTGTGAACCACCCCACATTCCCGACCGTGTCCGGCTTTGCAGCCCCTGTGCCCCAGGGCAGGGCCCCCTCCCTGCGCTCGCTGAGAGCCCCGTGGGCAGAGCCCCCAGCCGGGCCAGGGCAGCCCCGGGGCTGGAGGGTCCCGCAGGGCCGCGGCGGTGCCCGGCCCGGGGCTGGCAGCAGCCTTTGTCCCCGGGAGGCTGCGCAGCCAAGCGCAGGGCGTCGTGGCGCGACGCGACGCGGAAGCGCTCGGCCTGGCGGGCACCGCGTTGCCCCAGATAAGGTGCAGCTGCCGCGGCCGGGACTTGGGGTCCCCGGGAGGTCCCACGCAGCACCCTGAGCAGGGGAAAGGAATCAGGGAAGCCCCGTCGTGGCAGCCGTGCGAGGTCCTGGGTGCCGGCAAAGCCCAGCGCCCGCGGTGCTGCTTGGCAGGGCTGGAGCTGGGGGCTGCCGGGGCAGGACGGAGGAATCCCTGGCACGTCCTGGCAGCGGCTCCCCCTTGTCCCAGTCRTGCCGTGCGCCTGCCCGCAGGGACGGCTCCACGCGCAGCCCAGGATGCTGCCAGCTCCAGGCAGTTTCCTGCTGCCGCCCGGGGCGGGAAGATGCTGCTGCCAAAATAGCCGCTCACAAGCACTTAATTAGGGTGTCCCAAAAATAAAGGCCAGGTGGTAATCCTTGCCAGAGCTGCATGGGGAATTGCTTCCCAGGCTCTGGGTACCAAGGGAAAGGCAAGTCCCTCTCTGTGCTTGGACCACTGGTCTCTCCTGCGTGGGTGTCTTTTATTTTTAGGGGAGCTTTTTTGGAGGGCAAAATTACCCGGGATGAGACGGGTGCCTAATTTGGGCTGAGGAGTGTTTGAGGTGTATTCAGCACTTGCCGAAAGCACGTGGGCCCCTTGGCTGCCCCGCGCGGCGGCTGCACGAGGCCGCGGGCCTCCCCCTGCCCTCGCGGGGCTCCCGCCCGGAGCAGCGCCGGAGCCGCAGGGGCCGCGCGGGAAGGGGCCGCGCTGCAGGCGCACGTTGGCCCTGGAGACGTTAAACAAGGGCAGGCGGAAATCGCTTCCCAGCAGTGGAACCGGGAAGGAGTCCAGCTTAAGGTGGACCACGGGAGGCAGCGGYGCTCCGGGAGCAGGGCCGGGCTGCAGGGGCCGATCCCCTGGCGCCGGCAGCGCCGAGTCGCGGGAGCGGGGTTGGGTGGGCAGCGGTGCAGTCCATGCAGCTGCAGCCAAGGGCGCCTGCAGTGCCGGGAGAAGCGTCAGCCCTTCCCTGCCCTGCGCCCGCGTCGCCCTCCGTCCCTGTGCCCGCGTCGCCCTCCGTCCCTGTGCCCGGCTGCCCCAGGCAGCTCCCGGTGTCCAGTAGCTCCCTGTACTGGGGCACGAGTGCTCCCTGGCACCACAGAGCATCCCTGGGGTGTTGCTGGAACATCCCGCGGGATCCCAGCCCTGCCTTCCTCTGTCCCGCAGCCGCGCTGCCCTTCTTCATCCTCACGCTGGTCAACTCCCCGTACAAGCGGGGCTTCTACTGCAGCGATGACTCCATCCGCTACCCGTACAAGCCAGACACCATCACGCACGGCCTCATGGCCAGCGTCACCATCACCTGCACCGTCCTCATTGTAAGCGAGCGCCATCCCGGCCCCGCGCGGCTCCCTCCCGGCAGGGCTCCCGGGGCACCCTGGTGCTGCGGGCCGGGCACCGGCGCAGCCCGGCAGCCCCACGAGCGCTGCCCCTCGCCCGCAGGTCTCGGTGGGGGAGGCCTATCTGGTCTACACGGAGCGCCTCTACTCCAGGTCCGAGTTCAACAACTACGTGGCCGCCCTCTACAAGGTGCTGGGGACCTTCCTCTTCGGGGCGGCCGTGAGCCAGTCGCTCACCGACCTGGCCAAGTACATGATCGGCCGCCTGCGGCCCAACTTCCTGGCCGTCTGCAACCCCGACTGGTCCCGCGTCAACTGCTCGGGCTACGTGCAGCTGGAGAGCGTCTGCCGCGGCACGGGCGGGAACGTCACCGAGTCCAGGCAGGTCTCGGGGCCGGGCGGGCGCTGCGGGGCTGCCGGCCCCGCCTGACGCCCCTCTCCGCACAGGCTCTCCTTCTACTCGGGGCACTCCTCCTTCGGCATGTACTGCATGGTGTTCCTGGCGGTGAGTGTGGGGTGGCGGGCGGGGGGCGCGGGGCCGGCGGCGCCGCTCACGGGGCTGCCGCTGCCCAGCTCTACGTGCAGGCCCGCCTGGTGTGGAAGGGGGCCCGCCTGCTGCGCCCCACCATCCAGTTCTTCCTCATCGCCTTCGCCATCTACGTGGGCTACACCCGCGTCTCCGACTACAAGCACCACTGGAGCGACGTGCTGGCGGGGCTGCTCCAGGGAGCCCTCATCGCCGTCCTCATCGTGAGTGTCCCCCGGCTGCGCGGCGCTGCATGGAGCTGCATGGGGCTGCATGCACTGCATGGAGCTGCATGTGCTGCATGGGGCTGCATGCACTGCATGGGGTTGCGTGGGGCTGCATGCACTGCATGGAGCTGCATGGGCTGCACGGAATGTGCTGCGTGGGGCTGCATGGGCTTGCATGGGCTTGCATGGGGCTGCATGCACTGCGTGGGGTTGCGTGGGGCTGCATGGGGTTGTGTGGGGCTGCATGCACTGCATGGAGCTGCATGGGGCTGCATGGGCTTGCATGGGGTTGCGTGGGGCTGCATGGAGCTGCGTGGGGCTGCATGGAGCTGCGTGGGGCTGCATGTGACTGCATGCACTGCATGGAGCTGCATGTGCTGCATGGAATGTGCTGCGTGGGGCTGCATGCAGCTGCATGTGCTGCGCAAGGCTGCATGGCATTGCAGAGCGCAGCACAGGACCAGCTCCCTCCGCCGCGCAGGGCCCGGGGCCCGGGGCTGGCCGGGAGCGGTGCGGGTGCCGCGGTGGCCCCATCGCTCCCCAACCCTCCCTGCAGGTCCGCTACGTCTCCGACTTCTTCAAGCAGCGGCCCCCGCTGCGGTGCGAGGAGAAGGATGCCGAGCGCAAGCCCAGCCTCCCCCTCGCCATGAGCGACCCTGACCGCAATCACTACAACTACCGGGGCACCCCGTGAGCTGCAGGGAGCCGTGGGGGGCCCCGCGTGGGGACGGGTGACTGGACTGCAGCACCGTCCCACGGCATCCCTGGCCTCCACAGCTGCTGTCCTCACCTCCCCACGTGCCCCAGCTCTTCCCACACAACCCAGCACAGGGCTCCCTGTCCTGGCGGGCGCTGGGAGGGCTGCCCTGTTCCCAGGTCGTGGGCCCTCTGGTGCCCCCTCCCCATCTGGCCCTGTGCCCCTTCATGGGGCTGGATGGGGCAGGAGGTTGCGGGGGCTGCAACGGGAGCGGAGGCTGCAGGAGCAGAGCTTGTCCTGGGCGGCCTCCCATGCTGGGGGCGGCCTTTGCGCTGCCGGGACTTTTTTGGAAAGGATTAAAGTGAGGCCAAGCTCTGCTCCGCTCCCCGTTGCCTTTAAAAGCGCTGCCGGCTGCAGCGGCTGCGCCCCCTTCCCCCCCGCCACCGGGAACCGTCCCCGGGGCGGGAGGGAAACGGGGCCGCGGAGCCCAGGGCTGCTGCGGGGGGGTGGGAGGGGGCCCCGGGCCCCCCCAGCCCCTCCGCGCCCGCCCGCTCCTGCCTCCTGTCGAGCTATGTGCATTTTCATAACGACATGTTTTTATATATATATATATAAACGTTTTAAAATTAGATCATCTTCGAGGAATGTCTGTGCTGGAGCTCCTTTCTTGCCCCTGGATGTGCCGGACCTGGAGCGGACGAGATCAAGGCCGAGATTSCGCCGTGCAGGAAGGGCCCGGAGCCCACGGGCACCAAGCTCGGGGCGCCCGCGGTGGCCTCTCCGGGGCGGCAGGGGAGGAAACTCCTGGAAAAAGTGACGCTCCAGCGAGCAGTTCCTTGGCGGCTCCTGCGGAAGGGAGGAGCAGTGGCGGCCGAGCCGCCTGGGCCCGGCACCAGTACCGGGAGCATCCACCCCCTTAGAGCGCTGCAGCCCGGCCGCGAGCCCGTAAGCCGGGCCCCGCGCTTACACCCTGCGAGTTGCTGCAGCCCCGACAAGCCCAGACCAGACCCCCCTTTCCTGCGTGCAGGAACCTCCCTGGCCACGCGCTGCTTCCCTCTGTCTCCTCGGGAGCTTCCCCCCGCGGGGCTCCCGCCGGTGCCGGGGGCTCCCGGGGCTCCCCGCAGCGGAGCAGCCCGGGGAGGCGGCCCCGCCGCCCGGCCTGGCGGCAGCGGCGGCCGCGGGAGCGCCGGGAGCTCCCGGGTTTGTTTTTCCTTTCGCAAGGGGTTGCGGAGGGAGCGTGAGAGCGAGTGCGGGCGGCTCCTCCCCGCGGCGGCCCCCGTTCCCAGCGCGGCCCCTGCCCAGCCGGGAGCGCGCCCGCTCCCTCCCCCGGGAGCCCGTTTCGCCCCTTGGATGCGGCTCTGGAAAAACCAGCCGGGCCACAAAGCGGGGCGGGCGGAGCG